CCCCCCCCGGCTCAATCCACCCCTTTCCCGCCTTTCCGCTGCTATCCTTCGAAACCACGAATGCGTGTATATGTGTATCAAGAGTTTGACTCTGGGTAACACCGTCTCACCGCCTTTGTGCTAATGTATTAGTGGGATACTGATCCGTTTATACCAGCCGACACGTGACACAGAGAGACAAGCGTATATAATTTTTTTTTAATCGAGCAGCAACGCATACCTTTGGCTCGCTCGTTTTTTTCGAGTGGTTTTTTTTCCTCATTCTCCTGTCGTTTTCCCCTCTCGGATCCATCAAACGAGCCTCTTGTCGCTTTTGATAGCTGTCAGTATCACGTGTCCACGGTGAACAATATACAACGTGACGATGATGGGTTTTACGTCACGGTGAGACACATACGGGTATTTTTCACTTTCCTCGAGTGCGTTTGGTTTTGTTTTCTGTCGAGGTATTTTTATTATGCGCGGAGAGAAGTGTTCAGTAAAAATTACGGAACTCAGTTCGCTCAACGATTACGGAGTCGACTCAGAAAATTTAAGTGACGGTATCGTAATTTTTCACAGGAGACTCGGGTAAAAATTACGGAACGCTCTGGAAAAATTCCGTGATTTTAGGTAAAAATTCTGTAACTGTTCCGTAAAATTTCCTACAACCACATTGTGCTTCGGAATTACAGAAAAGATACGTCATTTTTATTGAATATTGAATATTTCTCTCCGTGTGGGGGGACCAGGGTGAAATTTGAAAGTCTTCGATTGATGGAAATAACTATTGACCAAGTTTCGATGTATCATGGGTTACCTAAAAAACTAGGAAAAATTTCGTACCAACTCATTTTACCCCGTACGTCGGGCGAAAACGTCGTTAGTCGTTTTTGGCGTGGAAATGCTCTTCGCATGACAATTTTTATCCGATTCAACCTTTTTTTCTTTTCAAAATGTGTGTTAGATTCCATAGAATAAAACTAGGTATTTTTTTCGATTATCTCAATTAGATCATAAGAAAATGACGTTCAAAATGACGTTTTACGGACAGTGACATTGGGAAGAAATAGTATGTTTTGTCATTAGGCCGAAAAAAACTTTTCTGGCGAATATGAGTTTGCAGCCCGAGCCAAAGGCGAGGGCCTACGGCCGTCATAACAAAAAATACTGTTCGTCATACGGCCAAAATAGTATATTTCGTCACTAGGCCGAAAAAAACTTTTCTGGCGAATATGAGTTTGCAGCCCGAGCCTTCGGCTCGGGCTGCAATCATATGACCTAGAAAAGTTTTTTTTGGCCGTATGACGAACAGTATTTTTTGTTATGACGGCCGTAGGCAGAGATTCACGGACGCGGAGCGTCCGTGAAGCGCTGCCTCACGGCCGGAATGACAAAAAATGATGTTCGTCATTCGGCTGAAAACAACTTTTCTGACTCGCGTGATTGCATTCCACGGCTTCGCTTGAGTCTGCAACCTTCACACTCGTCAGAAATTTTTTTTTCGCCCTTGTGACGAAAATGACTATTTTTCAATTTATGCATTTTTTTCCTTTTTTTATACCGTGTAAAAATCATTATTCTGAACACCTGTTATGGTACTATTTTAATATTCAACAACTCAGAATAATAATTTTATTCAGAAAAACAAAAAAAAACGAGTAAAAATGAAAAAAAGAAAAAAAAGGGGAAATAAAAAAAATCAATTTTTCCATGATCTAATTAAGATATTTAAAAAAAAAATACCTAGGTTTATTCTATGTAATCTAACAAACATTTTGAAAAGAAAACAGTTTAAATCGGATAAAAATTGTCATGCGAGGAGCATTTTAAAGCCAAACATACGAAAAACGACCTTTACGCCTGACGTATTCTTAGTTTTCATCAACCGAAGACTTTCAAATTTCACGCTGGTCCCCCCTTAAGAAAGATTGGACGTAAGAGGAATTGTACGTGACGCTTGCAATTTTTTTTGTATTTTGACAATTGTTTCTGTCGGCTGTGCGAGGAAATTTATGAGTTTTTTTTCTGGGGTCAAAGTTTTCCGCATTCTGATATTGCTCGATGGAAAATACTTTTTTAGGTGGGAATGACGTGGGTTCAACTTTTTTACTGACCTCAGAGGGAATGAAGTTGCGTTAAATGGCAGGTGTATGAACGTTGAAATCGTTGGATGAGTCCGAGGCATTGCTATTTCTGACGCACCTGTTCTGTAACCTGCAAGAGCCCCAGCTGCCTCTGGTCCCATCGACCGAAGCTCCATTACCAATTCCCAAGTGAAGCTATAGTCCATGAATTTTCAGGGCCTGGCCTACCGAGATCTATACCTGAGATATAAAACGCAATAACCGAGGATAAATATGGAAAAATAGACAGCAAAATATGAAACGGACGATGGACAGGAGAGGCGTGCAGCTCCGCTGGGCATCGATAATGCATGTTGCTATTGATCGGCCACCGGGAGTTGTGCCGCGGGAAAATAACGATCCAACTGGCGAGGCTCGCCCTCCAACTCGCCTCTATAATTCACTAGAAAAATTTTTTTTCCTCTTCATTCAAGCTACCTCCCCGTCTACTGCATTAAAAGAATTGTTATCACCGTTGAATCATCAATTTTTCCCCTCTTTTCATTGAAACATTTGAGCAAAGTGGAAGAGAATTGAAACAAAACGTGGGGACGAAGCTGGGTCAGAATAAAAATAATCTCCCAGCGGGAGTTGGCGTGCAGGTCAGTTGGAAAAGCATGGAACGAACGCCACTGGCATCGACGATGAGCCCAAGCTACCCTCGTCACAGCGTCAGGGGGTTATATACCGAGGGCTTTCGTCCTGTATATACAGAACAGAATAGAAGGCCAGCCAACAGAGAAGACGATATAACTACGGTAGGCAGCTGCTGCCTTGGTAACACGAGTGGAGGAGCTGTCCCCCGGTGTACAGCCCCGCAGGGTCTTTTCCTGCTTGTGTATCCACAAACAATGACCGAGGGAGAGAAACAGTTCTCCTGACCCCTTGAGGGAGACTATCCTCTCGTCGTCATCAGAGGGCAGGAAGGACTTCCCCCCGTCTTTTTTTTCCCAGGAAAATTATAAACACCGAGTACGAAGCAGCGCAAGCTCACAGACCACTGGATTCTCTCCATCAAACGAGGGGTGAAGAATCCACGGTGGGATTCATGCTCGCACTAGCCACCGCCTCCAACACCCCACCGGCCATACACTGATGATAAAAATTCCGGCGAAAAGTCCCGTTAAACATAAACGTATGAAAAAAATTGTGAATAAAATCCGGAAATTGACGACTGACGGAATGAATGTGGATGCGCGTAGACATACACTGGGACACGCATGTACTTTCAGTAGGTCAGATACGGAAAGAGAGATGAAGGGCACTGGGGTGTCGACGCCCCCGCCCAGTTCGTGGTAAAGTCGCACGTGCTACGTCACTCAGTGTGTTTACAGATACGAAAGCCTACACGGATGCAATACCACACATACATGGCAAGCCTTACTCGTGACCTTGTGTTTTGTATATATCATCCGGCGCCTCTGTTCGTCCGCTCCCCCTCTTTCACCCCCTTCGCTAGCAAACTCGATGCCTCCCTTCGCAGCCCATCCAAACCTACAGTTGACTGTGCGCGCGCTCCATCTTTGTCTCTGCTCTCTCGTCCTCTGATTCCGTGTCCCCCTCCTCCCCCGCAATCTCCGGAATTCCCCACTGAGAGCACCCCAACACCCCCCCAACACCTCTTCATCGTTGGCAACCAGTTGTTCCGTCTGTGACGTAACTCGTCGTATCACACAACCTGTCGGCAAAATCTCTTTCTCTCTCTCTTCTTCACTCTCTTTTCTTCATCTACACTTTTCACTCTCCTTTCGGCCATCGACGCCGCACTCGTTGCAGTACATTGATTTCCCTCTCACTCTCTCCCCCCCTCTCTCTCTCTCTTTCTTTCTTTTATTCTTGTTCCTCTGTCCCCTTTCTTCTCATCATCATTTCCCTTTTAACTCCCCCCACACGACATTCAGTGTTTAGTTTCTTTATCTCACTCGGTTCTGGACTCGCTCGTATTTTGCAACACTGTCCTCCGATGATTTTCTCCTCGTCTAATACCTCCTCATCTCTCTCATTTGTCTGGATGGAATGCCGGGGAATCCCATGCGTCCGAGACCTTTACCTATACATACCCAATTTGAACGCCTAGACGACGACTGGGAAACACTCACGTTTCGTTCTGTCTCACTCGTTACACCACCCGTCTCCCCCTCCCCTCCCCCTCTCCCTCCAACTGGCTGCTCCAGATATTATTGGGTCATTGCACCGCCGCTTTGTTTACATTTCACGATCTCATTGAGGTAGGTTTATTTTGGTGTTATTAATAGATATGCGGAATGCTTGAGATTCACCGTGTAGTTTTTATTTTTTAAATAATCCTTCGCTACAATTAATACGTCACTCCAGTAATTACAATCATTATTATTTTCTAGTCATTGTTTTTTTGTTCATTATAACGCCAAATGGACAACCGCCGTGACACCCCATGCCTCAGTATTATTTTAATAACGCAAAGTGTGTAGGTTCTACTTGGATTATTTTTGTTTTTTTCATTCGCTCAACATTGGTAGTAACGTCGTTATCCTTGCATTCTCTCTTATTATGCAGTATATTTCTTGTGTGTATCGTATATATTCATCGGTATATCACGCCCCGCAATCAGCGCACTAAACGACACTACGAGCGGATACTATTACGGAGATGTTTCTTCATCGATTCACACGAATCCCATACATTCATTCAACTCTCTCATACCCATTATCCATTTTTCTCATCGTTACGCTCTTTACAATTAATATCTTCTTGTTTTTATTACTTACGTTCGAACAACCAGTAATGATACTCGTTAAATAACTAATGAAAAAAAAAACAAACTAGTGTTTTTAATGAATCGGTAGTTCTTGCGTCTTGCTTATTTTCCATTTTCCTCGTAACTGCATTTTAAGGCCATAAGTGAAATATCTAAATTTATAGTATCCAGCGCTAGGATAATGTTTTGTATTTTTTTTTTTAATCGTTACTTTTATATATATAAATTGTTCCAGGATTCTAATACGAGGTACAATATGAGAAGTCTTGTTCTTTATTTATTTATAATATATTTATTAATTTATTTTTGTTTTATACTCATTCACTCTATTCCATCAGTTTAAAAATCGACAATACGATTTTTACTTAACATCTAAACATTTGTCATTTCCTTCTTCAATGTTTTTTTTCTCTCTGCATTTTACCGCAAGCACATGAATTTAGTTGTGTATATATCACGTATCACGTTTATTTATGCATATATCCAACCCAGGGGGATGTCGTCAGGCAAGTCGTTCCGTGGCAGTGCTCCGCACATTTTTGTTTTTTTTTATTATTACACTATATTTCCTCATTCTCCTAATCGCTACATTAACGTTTATAAAAACGTTCACGCCCTGAAACGAGCCCATAACCACCCTCAGGTTTCATATTTTTCTTCATCCTTCTTCTGCGTGAAATGTCGCGCATTTGAAATATTCATATTCATTAATGATAATAATGATATAATGCCATTTCGGTAATTGTCGAGATGTCGTTTTTGTTTAATTACCATGATGAAAGAGTGAAGCTTTTGCAAATTGCGTGTCTTTGTAATCAGTGCTCTGGTAATCATAAAACAGAGAGGGGGGAGGGGGAAATTTGAAAGATGACAGGGGAAAAAAGAAGAGTACGAAGTTCGCCTCCCGACGTTTCCGCGCCAATCAATACCGGAAATAAACGACGTTTCCCATCCACCTTCATAACTTCCGTCTGAGTGAAGTTATGACGATAAGAGCAAAAGAAATGGAGTAATAATTGTTCAAGCCCTCGTGGATCGATGCCATCGACTCTCGGAGACGTGCGTACACCTCTGGAAGGGGAGGGGGGCGGGGGGAATGGGTGGGGGGCTGTGTGTATCCAATGCCCGATCGACTATTTCTCTCAATTGAAATGTTAATCATTGTGGAATGTTCAGTTCTCCGCGAGTTAATAATGCAATTGTTTTCGATTCAGGGAATTCAAGTGATTCTAAAGATTTGTATGAATTAAAAAACTAAAATTGCGCTTTCCACGCTAATCTCAGTGTGAATAGTATAATAAAATGACGTATGAATATTAAAGTACATTGAAGTAAAGGGACTTTCCTGAAGTATTGAAAAATTGTAAGTTTTTTTTTCAAGTTTTATTTAATGTCATTAGACAGTGCGCAGAGAATGGCCTCTTTAATTCGAAATAGTCTGCCCTTACAAATGGAGTTCTCTTCATCTAAATCACAATCTATGTAGTTTATGTTTAGGTATTATTACGTTTGTAATAACAGAAAAACAATTGTCGCATGATCGTTAATGGCGAAGCATTACTTATTTATTTTTAGTTTGTTCAAGGGAAAGAAAGGAATAATAATTGTTCAGTCACTCGTCATTTGCGCGAAAAAAAAACAAATCATACATGCGTCACTTGTAGATTCGGTTGAAACACACTCCTACAATTCTTACTCCCGTTTTTTTGTTGTCTTTTTCTTCTGAGTTATGTGATTTTTTTTCGTTTTTATACCTCTCGTATTTTTCACGTTTTCTCATTCAATTATTATGCAAAAATACTAGTTAAATCCCTGTACAGAAAAATCTTGACATCGTCTGTAATGTGTGTGTGTCTGTATGTATGTGTGTGTAAATGGATTTGTTTTCTTCATTTCACATCAAATTTTTGATGGACATTTTCGCTAATTTGTTTACTCCCTTGGAATTAATTACTTTTTCATTCATTTTCTAATGTTTTACTTACAAGGTATTTGGTTTAACTCCATGCATCACGACATGTAGTTTTATTTTTTTTCTTTCATTTATTGGTTTTTTACTTCATCGTGTAAGGTATATAAATTATGGTAATGATTTCGGTATTACAATTATAATTATTATTAATCATTAATATTATTATTTTATCATCATAATCAGCTTACCGCCGTCGTGCCTGGTCACGGGTTGGTGCATTATTATTATTATAATTTCCATTCATCATCTAGTAATTTTCTTCATAATTTTTTTCATTTTCGATTACTTTTTGTCACTACAATCTCTTCGTCACTCGATTATCATCTTTTACATTCAAAGTAGAAGAATTAATAGAAATGATAAATTAAACGCTCTCGATAATTATTAAATCAACCAGTTTCCCTCAAGACTCTGCATCAAATGACTCAATTACTCCCTAGTAAATTTATACTCGAAATCTCAACAGGATCAGAGTCAATTTTCGAAGCGTCCTTTAAATGCATGAAAATAAAATTCAATATACAAAATTACCTACATAGTTCCATCATTCCACCAAACACCTGATGAAAATAATAAGCGATAGTAAACTAAATTCTCGAGCTAAGGAGGAGGAAAAGAAAGTCCATGTAATTTTTTTTATCGCGATGTCTAAAGAGTCGACGAATACTGTCGACACGCAGAAAATGTAAACGAGTATAATTAAATACTACCAAAGACCTATACGTAATTTCCACAACTCTGAGGGATGTTGGTGATGATAAAGAGGCGGGAGTTAAGTGGATAATAATCGAAATTATTTCAAATTATTCAGTTTGCTTATTTTTCTGTTACTTCGAGTGGATTTTAAAAACACAGATTAGAAGCGTCTTGCCGTGATGGGTGTCATATTAGCGGCCGACACGAGGCTATGGACAGGATGTTTAATAGTATTATGGCCCTGGGGTCACTTCTTAGTTTTCTTGGCTGGTGGCTCCTGTGCGTCCTGCGAGTCCTCCGTATCCTCACTGTCAGTCGCTCTTGGTGTATTGCTACAGTCCTCATTCTCGTTAGTTGCAATTGAATCATTAGTATCTTCACTTGGTACAGCGGCTGTTATTGGTGTTGGTGGTTTGTCAAGTGAATCCTCAGTGAATGATGTTGTAGTGCTGTTCTCATCTATAGCTGCTGGATTTATTGTTGTTGGCTCCTTGCCGTTGACAACAGCTACCTCTGAATTGCTGTCGTCCGATGGCTCTGTTGCTTCACCATTGCTCGATGCATGAGTATTTCCATTTTCTGTTGCTCCTGGAATGCCTTCCAGCAATTCTGGCTTCAATTCTGACGCAACGTAGTGAGTCCACAGGGCCAGCTCAACTCTGTGAGGACTCCAGGATTTTCCATTTGTCGCTGGAACAAAAAAAAAAACAAATGGGTAAATTTGTCAATCAACAAAATAGGTGAATTCATTGAATTTTTTAAATCCAGCAAGTTTCTCTTGCCCTCAGTTCACACATTTTACAAGAGTTATCCTTCCTTCTTTATTTGGAAATTGGCTCAATTAACGAAGACTGACTCAATGGCTTTGCACTTATTCGATCTTCGATTAAACAATTGAGTGAAAAGGGGGGAATAAATGGGAATTAAGCACTCAAACTCACTCTGTTTGTTGAGCCTCTCGACTGTATTCTGAATGTGTTGAACAAAATTGAGGTACTCCTTGGTCGTATAGTCAATTCCCTCGATCTCGGGTATCGCCATAAGACACTCATCAGCCATGAATGGTGCGTTCTCGGGTGATGCCGCTGCCAACAGTGCCGATGCCATTGTTGTACCCACACCTTTGAGATTCGACAGTGCTGTTATAGCTTGTTCCAAATTTGGTAATTTTTTGAATGCCTTCTTCGTTTCAGCCATCACTGCACGGGGTGTATTTACTTTTACCAAGTAGTTCAACTGGGGATAGAACTTTCCACGCTGGAACAAGGAACGTTCAATTCAATTATGAATTTGACAATGCTATTTTCAACGGACAGACGTCCTGTTCAACGATTTCATTGTGATTATGTCATACTTACGGTCTGTTTCCATTTCATCGTCTGCACAAGCTCCTCGTGAATGAGATGGGCGTCCTTTCCACGTGACTTGATTGTCTTAGGCAATTCATTTTGGTACCTGTTGGAGAATAAATGAAAAATCCGGTAAAACAAACGTCTTTACCAAGGTCACGGGGATCAAGGACTGAAATCGAAAAAGCGTGACGTACTGGAGATCACGAATTTGAACCCACAATTGCGAGTGTCTCGGTATATACCGCACTATGACGCAAGCATTTGAATGAGGGAAATTTAAATCATTTCCTCTTGGTTATTCATCTCCGAAAACCACAAATGGCATTCAATGCTCGATGAAAAAGTAAATGCCTCAATCAAGCGGAAAATTTAATTGACTCCAAAGCAGAATAGTCAGACCCGGGGTCAAAGGTATCAAATCAGCCGTGAAACAACGGGGGACAGAAAATAAAGTGGAGAAAATGTATCTGGAAAAATTCATCGATATATATGTAACTGGAAAATCCTAGTGATAATAAAGTCCAGTGGATTATTCATTGAATATTCTCTACTGTGGGGAAATACAGTTTCAGCACGGCTGACGCGGCAGCGCTCGCGTCCATTTTGAGAGGCGCTCTCGGCACGCAACCGCGCTCCAACAAAAACAGCCTTGACACAATCGTGCGCGGAGCGCTTTTATAAAATCTGCTTGGCAGTGACGATTCTCGCTGTGGGAAAATAACCCGGGGAGGGGGGAGGGAAATCTACCGAGGAAACACGCACAAAATGCCACATCGAGTTCTCTCCCTTCGCAATAAACATGAGCTGATAATTGGGGGAGGAGATGAGATAGGTAAATATTTCAATTTATTCTAAAAATTTGAAATGAAATAGGTAGAAAGAGAAAAGTGGCACACAGGTGCGCAATAAGTTGTCGGCGCGTGTGATTTCGAAAAGCCCCTCATGGCATTAGTTGGCTCAGCCCCGAAGGAGTTTGGACGAGGAAAAAGTGGCGGCTCTAGTCGTTGTCTGTAACACGACAGACAGTACGAGCCCTGGCTCTCTGGCACTATACCACACGGCGAAGCGTTTCATAAATGTCAGGGCGTTACGGACGCGAGACAAGCGCCAGTTCTCCTCTGCCTCAGTCAATATCTATTCCCAGCATACACACACCAACCATCAGGTTACCGATCAATACAATTTTTATGCTCATCAGGCTCAACGATTGGCCAAATAATCCAGAATCGTTAATCATTTTGAGTGGCAAACAATGAGATACACGATAATGAGAATCAACGAATTTTCAATGGATTACACACCGAATGCCGATAAAAATTCACAAAGTGATTACGTGTTATTCAATGAGAGAGGGAATTCAAAAAGACTGAGCAATAAATTAAACATAAATACAATGAGTCATCATATGCGGTTGGCGCTCTCAGGGTATTCCCTCATTTATCATTCATGGAATCGGCCATGTACGAACTGTAATGCGGATAATTAACGAGGGTTATTAAACGACGAATGAATTTGTCGAGCCCCATCGACATAGGTTACCACTCGGGCAATTCAATTCACCGTGTTTTTGTTGAAAAATTTGTAGTGATTCCAATGCTTTCTGCAATAATTTTCATTAAATTTTCGGTGATTGATGAGAATCATTCGAGACTGAATTTAATGAGATTTTAGTTCAATTGACAAGTCGCGACGTGGAAGAATAAATTTCATCCCTCTACATTGAAAACTCTCATTTCATCTCATTTAAAAATATTCCAGTCTCCTTCACCCGGAAATAGTAACCGAGACGAAGAGTGAAACAAAGCCGATGAGCACCTCTGTTAATTGAAAAAAATGAATTTGATCAAGATAAATATTCCACCTCGCCTCTCAACTGAATTTGCATTGATCCTCCCTAACGAGATATTAAATCTCGGCGTAAAAGTAAGCGATTTAAATGCCCCTACCCAGCAGTTTAGCATGAAAATGCCTGGAATATAATGCTCCCCAGTCTCTTAGACAGGAGTCATTAAACGCCAAGGTCACGGTGTTGCCCTCCAATTCCGCCAAAAAAATCGGGTAATAAAATTCCTTGAAAATCACAGACACATCGAATTTACCCAGCCGAGTTAAAAAGAAGGCGATTGCCACGTGCCACGGGCCGTCGCGAGCCACCCAAGAGTTTTATCTCCCGTTCAGCCACCTCTTTCACACATGCGTAAAATACCTCATCACAAAGATCCATCGACAATCGGAAGTAACGTGCTAATAGAGACCAAACAAAACGAAAAAAGCCGGGAGAAGGGGAAAAATAAACGTCGATGAGGGGCAAACTAAGGAGATCGGAGCGTGTGCGCTCAAATATACGTTCACAGTATGCTACGTGCTGGCAAACAGTCGAGCCACACACACTTGAGGGGGGGTTCATTGTACCCAGTTGCCGACGTGTTGGAGAAGGGGCCCCTTCACGAGTAAAACCGGGAGAGTTAAATCGTGTTTGTTACTTGGAGTTTTGTCGTGAATATACCCGTGGCTACCGGACGTTACGATCTAGCAGTATATTGAGAAGAATAAGACGAAAAAAAGGGAAAAAAAGGCGAGAGAGAACAGTTTATATTTCAAATATCATGAAATAGGTGTTGACTCACCAGTCGTCCAATTTGACAAGCTCCTCGGGTTTTTTCTTTTTCCTATCTGCCTGTAATCTGAGGGCCTGTGGATACAATTTTAATACGTGTTCGAATTGACTTGTTGTACCCTCAGTGAAGAAAGTCGCCGTGTCTTTCACGGAAGCCATTGTGATAAACTATGTTTCTTTCTATGTCCGTGAGATGGCGTATTGCGAGGAAAAATCGTCGTTTTATATCTCACTCGTTTTTTACAGCCTCTGTCCCTCTTTTTCTTCCTCCCTCAGTCCTCGAAAATATCCACTGCTGAGAGTTATCGCAGCTATCCAAACTCTGTATTTCTCCCTCTTCAATGCAAATATATGTTTCTCACTGTTGGAGTTGTTTTTTAGCAACTCCTCCTTCACTCCGCACGCGCGTCTCACACTGCCCGGCGCGAGATATTCTATTTCACCCTCTGTCTGGTTTGAATCCCCTTCGTTTAGCCGGCGGCGGCACAACGAGCGCGGACATACGAGGATTATCCACGGAGAGACAGGTCTGCGGTTTGTGCGCGGCGCGCTCCTGTATTTTTTACCCTCAAATTTCAAACGTAAACTACTCAATTCTTTGAATCTCCTCTCGACGTATTTCACTGTATGTTTTTATTATTGAAAAAACACAAAGTTGAGAATCAACTGCTGCTTCCTTTATGCCTCGTGAATTGACGTGAGACTGTATTTCCTCGGCAACTGGTTTTCACTCTCTCAGCTCGGTTTATCCCACAAATTCCCTTGGAACGAATGACGATATAAACAAAGAAAATCGTTGAATATTATGTCTAATATTGTTTCAAATATTTCCTTTCAAATAATGATTTTTCCTTCGTTTTTATTGTTTTGTTGGCTTTAAACCGTGCACCACGAGCGATATCACGATGTGACTCGTGGGGCGCAATATACTCCGTCAGTAGTGCTTGCGAAATTTCATACGTTTCAAACGTCCTGTGGTGGGGAATCGCGCGATCGAGCTCTAACACGGCACACTCTCTTGGAAACCCCGTTCTCCTCTGGGGCTCTACGTACTACTCGATGGACTGTTTCTCTCTTCTCTCCCTCTCTCTCTCCCTACCACACGATCTCGTTGTCCCTCTCCTCTACTCACAAGAGTGGGGATAAACACAAAGTCTGAGCCAATAGGGGGCAGCACTGCACGGGGCCTTTATACCCGCCTCTTCGCGATCCTACGGTTAACTCCTGCCTCTCTCTCTCTCCCTTTCTCTCTATCCCCACCAACCGTATCCAGCAGTGACTCTACACATGCACCCTCAACACATATATGCACATGTATATATAAATATATACGGCGTGGAAACCAACTAAAGCACCTCGTATATTATATACGAAAATTTCGACCGTGTCACTCGCCGCGACTGCCACCGGTCTCGGCTGAACGATCGCTCCTCGCACGTTGCTTTCCAGGAGATTTCTTGCTCCCCGTTGAATTTCAAAAAATAATATGTGACTTGCAAAATTCAATGTTGAAAAACCTCTCCAAGATTTTTCTATACGTTTGAAAAATAAAATGTGCAGACACGAAACTCCTTTCTCCACGTACTCGCCGGATTTATGTTTGCTCTTATATCAGTCTCTTATTTTTGGTCGATAAAATTTTTATCCCTCAATTTTATGATTCTCCCGGATTGACAATTTATGAAATATGTAAAAATCCACACTGACACTTTTTACTACCAACTTTCCTTTGAAATTTGACTTTGATGGACTACAGTTGTAACCGAGATAGACGTATTTTTCATTCGACGTTGTCCTTGTTGGTCGATGTCACTCGTTACATTTATCCGTTCTACTCCAAAATAGTATACATCACTCATAATACGTTACAGTGTTAAAACCAAAATCTACTATTGTTAAATAAACTGATAAATTGACACGACAACACGGTATATACCCCTTGACCGAGCATTGGACAGCGATATATCGTAGATATACAGAATCAAAACGTTAGCAATAACATAAAAAATAACCCGACGTGTTTTTTATCTCTCCCTCACTCTCTCTTGCTCTCTCTCTCTCTCGTACGTATTATTATCTCTCTCAAATATATTCTCCCTCTCTTTCTCACCGAATCCTATTTAAAATGCCCCCGGCTTGCGATTGCTCACCAACTTCACAAATTGTGATAGAGCAGCAGCAGTAGTCTCCTCTGGAGCCCTCACCTCCTGCGCCTCACCTTCAAACCACGGGGTATATCGGCAATCACACTCACACTCACTTAGTTATTTGGTTCGGGGCCTCTCTCTTGTTCGGTTTTGCTTGTGGGATATACGCCTTGACGAAAACGGGAACACAGAGTGTGTGTATCTCTCGCGCAGAGTCGATTTGTTCGTGCGTTTAGCTGTGGAGGTAGTAAAACGGGCGACCGTCTGAGGGCAGGCCACTCGCGCACTTCTCTGCTATCTCCCACCCCTATTGCAATGTCTGTCTCTCTCTCTTTCCCTGTGTTTTTAGCTTGAAAACCATTCCCAAGCGACTCACGCTTCTGTGCTCGCGCAACCGTCCTTCCTCGCCAACTTCCCCTCCGCCCCCTTGTCCCGTCCGACCCCTCACCAAATCGCCGCATCCATCTCTCTCCCTCTCTCTCATTTTCTCTGTCTCTCCGCCTGCCCACTGCTATTTTGCTCATGAGAGAGGTAAACTGCATTGGATTTTGCACCCTTATTCAGGGGCCCCGCTGGCAACATTTTTTTTTCCCCAACTCCCCATGGGCCCTTGAATAGCCCCCTGAAAGTAGCATCGGGCTCCCTCGACTGGCTTGGAAAAGAATTCAGCCGGAAGAGAGAAAATATTTAAAGGCACCAAAGGTCCTCTTGGGCTCTGCAGTTGGCGCAGGGAGCTGTGTGCGTGTATATACACGGCTGCCCCTGGTAAATGTGTACAGCCGGCTCTCTGGGTGCCTGGATAGCATAGGCGGACTGGAAATCGATGCTAAGCCTGGGAGGCACGCCAGTGCCGTACCCAAACGACGGCTGGCACTCAGCCTCTCTCTTGTCCCGTTCCAACAATCCAGCCCCCCCGTCCCGTCGCACTCCCATTCTCTATCTGCCTTCATCATCGGCTTGAGAATAGGAAGGCTCTCTTTGCCGAGTGGGAATGTATTTGATATGTATGTGCGCAGGCGCTCGCTACATTAGACACAACCATTGTACAAGGACTCGGCTTCTTTCTGCACAAACACACATACACATAAATCCCCATGTATGCTGTAGCAGGGTACACGTGAAGTGGATTTCAGGCTTGTACAACCTCATTCGCACACAAGCCAGAACGGGAGAGAATTGGCAAGAGAGAGATCTGTAAATAGGTTGGAATAGCACACGGCAGGAGGGTTGGGATACATATTGCCTGGGAATCGTATTCGCATCCGACCCCGAATGCTTCGCTAAACTAAACGTATTGGCCCGTTGATGCTCGTGTATTTGTGCCAAATGCACGCATACACCGGGGAGAATATGCATAAACCGTGTAGATTGAGTACATTTGGGTGAAACAGTACATGGGACCCAAACGTATTACCCTTTGTATGTGCACGAGGGTGTCGTCTGCCAGCGACGGGGCGTCTCGACGCCATGCAGCACCCACTGGCTTTTTGCAGACACGTGTGGTATATACTGAATGTGAGAACGGAATATACATGTACATGAGGGCCATGTCAAATGAGAGATACAGTAATGATGAGTGTGCGCGCGCATGCATTGCGTTATATATAGGTTTTAACGAGTGTGCGAGTAGTCGCCAGTTGTCCGTGGAACGTTCGTGGTGGTTGGTTACGTGCCTGCCCTCGCTATATCTCTCCTTCGACGCCAGTCGCCTTTATCCCCACTCCTGTACACCCCCCCCCC